CAACGTTCCCTGCCTTCCGCTGCAGGCCTCTGAGCTGCAACTCAAAGCAACTATGTAACAAATATAGAAGCTAAAGAAAACCCCAGAAACCTGCTTTAGTCCACCGAGCTTCAGCAAGCAGGATTGCAACATTGTTTCAAATACAGAAGGTAAACAAAGGCCAGAAACCTGCTTTCAGCACCGGCCCCCTCCCCATCCCTCGGACTCTCCCGCTGCAGGGCAGCTTGTCTAGTCCCCCAGGCCGCCCAGGGCAATGCCCGCATGGAGGGTGGGGGTGCCCAACCCATTCCCAGGTCTCCCGCCCTACGGTGGGCATCTGCCTACAGCTATGGCCTTGTCTCCCCAGGTCTTGGGACCTGGGGTCCTGCTGGAGTTCTGCGTTGGAGGGTCGCACCTCAGTTGTGGGGCCCAGAAGTGCCTGAGGTCACAGAGCCCAGCCGCCTGGTGGGGGAGAGCTCCGGGGGAGAAGTCCGGAAGCAGCAGTTGGACACCAGGGTCCGCCAGGAGCCACCCGGTGGCCCCGTGAGTGGGGCTGGGAGGGGAGGCCAGGGGGCTGGAGCAGGCCTCAGAACCCACGGGAGGCCAGGGGCAGCCAAGGGTTGGGCGCCTCCCAGGCTGCTGGCTCCTGATGCTTCCCTTTGTCCCATGGACACCATGGAGCCCACTAGTGGGAGCGCCCACCTGCCAGGCTCCAGGCCCCTCCATCATCATGGGGATCCCCTGCCCTCAGCGGACTGAAATGCCAGGGCTCAGTCCGGTCTTGGTCAGCCTTCTGCAACCCCCACTCCTCTCCTGCCAAAGCAAGCGGTTCTATTCCAAACGGGCCTCGGGGAGGGCAGGAGGGGCAGGGAGAAGCAGCGAAGAGCCTGGGGCCAGTTCCTGGGTTCCTGCCACAGCCACGGGTAGTGGGATTTTCCAGAACAGCTTAGTGCTCGCTCCTGCCTCAGTTTCCCCCTTGCGCTGATAGGCATGTTCTTCTCCTTCCTGCCCTCGCTGAGGGTGGGGCCTTGGAAAAGGGTTCCAGGCCCCAACACGCGCACCCACAAATGCCACCACCCCCTGTCCCTTTCCGTTGCCAGGCCCCTCCTGCCTCCCAGAGGAAGGTTAGGAATGAAGGAGATTAATTGCAATTAATAATTAATTAATATCATGTGAATAATAATCACCCAGATGGAATATTCATTCAGCACGCCTTGCCTCAGCTCTCCAGGAGCTCAAAGCTGAAAGTTAGCCAGGCCACCGGGGGCGGCGGAGGGCGGGATGGGCTGGTGAAGGGCTGGCAGAAATAGGAGGAGAGACTGAGGAGGCTGGGAAGTTTGGGCAACTGAAGTCTTGAGTGGTGGGAGGTAACTGGGCCGGGCAGAGGGAGGATGGAGGGAAACGGAGGCTAACTGTGGACATCTGTCAGACTGGCATCTGGCCCTGCCTAATGTACTTGGTTAAAAGCCCTTAGGGGGGGGCGGAGGGGCTGTGGGGGTGCAGGGGCGGCACT